ACATAAAATAAAAATTAAAAGACCCCAAAATTTAAAAATTAACTGATTATAAATATAAGGCTGACTTGATCTGCGATTCTACTCTCCTGCTAAGTATGTCTCTCTTATGCCAATATTTTAATATTTTGTCTTTTTTTTTTTTTTCGGAGCTGAGGACCGAACCCAGGGCCTTGTGCTTGCTAGGTAAGTGCTCTCCTGCTGAGCTAACTCCCCAAGCCCTGTGCCAGTATTTTGATTACTGAGGTTTGTAGGCAGTTTTGAAATCGTCAGTTATTTGAGTCCACATTTGTTCTTTTCAAGACCGTGTTCTTTTGGGGTCTTTGAGTTTTCATGTATCTCTAGGATCAGCATGTCAGTTTCTGAAAAGCATATTTTCCCTTATGATTTTCCTGCTCTTTTGTAGGGAGCTGTACAGTGGCCATGAGCTAGATGTGGCTAGTGAGCACCCAGAATGTGGCCAGCTCATATTGCAATGTGCCTAAGTATAAATTGTATACTAGGCTTTGAAGATTTAATGGGAAAAGAGAATACAAAATAACTCATTAATAATTTTCAAATTGGTAGTACAAACCTACGACCCCAGCATTTGGGAGGCTGAAGCAGGAGGGTTTCTGTGAAGTTGAGGCCAGCCTGCGCTCCACAGTGAGTGCTAGACCCAGCAAGACTCCTATCCCCCAAAAGAAAAACATTTATCTATAGTAAGTCTTTGTTGGAATGATAAAATTCGCACCAGGAATGGTGCACACACATCTGTAATCCCAGCACTCTGGAAGCTGAGGCAGGAGGATCAAGAGTTGGAAGCCAGCCTGGGCACTAGTGAAGCATTGTCTCAAAAAACAAAAGCAGGCACTGGAGAGGCAGCATATTGGTTAAGAGCACTGACTCCTCTTGCAGAGGACCCAGGTTCGATTCCCAGCACCCGCGGTGGCTATGAACCATCCTTAACTCCAATTCCAGGGGAATCCGAGGCCTCTTCTGACCTCCGTAGCATTGCGTGACACGGGCGCACTCACATACATGCAGGTAATACACTTGTACACATAAAATAAAAATAATTAAAAAATTAAAAAAAACAGACAAAAGCAAAAAAGTTGATAAAATTTTATATTGAGTTACATTACATTAATAATTTTGGGTTGTTTTTCTTTGTGATTATCAGGTCAGTGAGATGGCTCAGTGGGTACTGGTGGTTTCTGTGTAAGCCTGGTGACCTGAGAACCTATGTAAAGGAAGAGGGAGAGAACAGACTCCTGACTTACACATGTACCTGTTTATTATAAATAAAATAACAAACTCTGATTATCATTTTTTATTATTTTTATTTTATGTGTGTGCATATATGGCCTGCGTGTAAGTGCACCTGTGTTGCGCAATACCCAAGGAAGTCAGAAGAGGGTATCAGATCCCCTGAAACTGGAGTTATGGACAGTTGTTAGCTGCCATGTAGGTGCTGGGAATTGAACTCAGGTCCTCTGCAAGAGCAACCAGTGCTCTTAACCACTGAGCCATCTTTCCAGCCTGTGATTTTCATTTTTTTAATTTTTAGGAAAATTTTATGTGTGTTTATCTGCAGTACAGCACATACATGCAATGCCTGCAGAGGCCAGAAGAAGGCGTCAGATTCCCTGGAATTGGAGTAGTAGTTAGCTGCCATGTGAGTGCTGGGAACTGAACCCAGGTCCTCTGCCCAAGTAGCCAGTGCTTTTAACCACTGAGTCTTTTCTCCAGCCACCTCCACTCCTTTTTTTTTAACTGTTTTTTTGAGACAGAGTTTCCCTCCTTATGTAGCCCTGGCTGGCCTGGAGCTGTATAGACCAGGCTGGCCTCCAATTCGGAGATCTGCCTGCTTTTACCTGCTGAGTGCTGTGATTAAAGGCATGTGTCATCATGCCCAACCTGGTTTTGTTGTTGTTGTTGTGTTTTGTCTTTTTGAGACAGAGTCTCCTTGTAGCCCCAGCTGGACTGGGACTCGCTATGTAGACCAGGCTGGCCTCAAACTCATAAAGATCCACTTGCCTCTGCCTCCCAAGTGCTGGGATTAGCCTGTTTGTTGTTGTTGTTGTTGTTGTTGTTGTTGTTTGTTTTTAAGCACAGTGTGCCTGTCTCCCTCCCAATGCTGGGGCTAGAACTCAGTGCTTTGTGCATGCTAGGTAAGTGCTGTACCACTGAGCTACATTCCAGACCTTAAGAGATACTTTTTTTTTTTTTCGGTCTTTTTGAGACAGGGTCTCCCTGTAGCCCCAGCTGTCCTGGAACTCACTATGTAAACCAGGCTGGCCTTGAACTCACAGAGATCCGCCTGCCTCTGCCTCCTGAGTGCTGGGATTAAAGGTGTGTGCCGCCACGCCCTGCGAGATAACTTCTTTTTTTAAAAAAACCTATTTTTATTTTATGTGTATGAGTGTATTGCCTGCATGTAAGTGCACTTTTGTCATGCAATGCCCATGGAGGACAGAAGAGGGCATTGGATCTCCTGGAATTGGAGTTATAGCCAGTTGTTAGCTGCCATGTGGGTGCTGGGAATTGAACCCAGGTCTTCTACATAACCTCTGAGCCATCTCTCCAGCTCCCAGAGATATTTCTTAATACCATGGTTGATTATGTAATGATTGTGTCATGGTTTCTTGATTCAGTTCTGTATTGTTGGACATTTAGGTTGTTTCCAGTTTTTTATGCTTAACAGAGTCCTGTGGTCTTCTGCACTCTAGTGACTGCTGCCAGGACACCACACAAACATGTTTGTGCACTCTTAAGCCTACGTCATGGAGACTCTTGTGTTATGAAGTTATTGAATGTTTTCATTTTAACAGAAAATTGATTTTAAGATAAGGCTCTGCATAGAATCACTCAGCAAATACTGATTCCCCATGAGGAGTCAGGTTCTGTTCCGAGGGTTGGGAACAAGACTGTGGTGAGTCCAAATCTGGTCCTCTTAGAGTTGATGTATTAGTGAAGGAAAGAATGATCAATAAAGAGCACCCCAGTTAATCAGCTGGAGAGCAGTATTAGGAAGGAAAAGAAAGCAGACTGACGGCTTGGCTGTGGGTAGAGTGCTGTCTTGGTACATCTGCCAAGGAAGGTCTTTCTGAGTAGGTGGCATTTGAGTGAGGACTGAAAGATTCAAGGGGAAGGGAGTCATGTGAAGACCTGGAAACAGAATGTGTTAGGTGGAAGCATCTGGAAGTGTGAAGCCTTGAAGTGGGATTGTTCTTGGAATGATGTTTATTTTTCAGTTCTGAGGAAGGGGTCCCTTTTTGCCCTGAGCAAAATTGTACGACACTGTCTACCTGGCCAGGGAGTGCTGGAAGCAGATGGGAGGGAAGAGGACACCAAGTTCAGTGTTGGACTTGCTAGGTTTGAGTGGCCATTTGAATTCTCAGAGATGCTGACAATTGGCTATACCAGTCTGGAAGTTACAGTGAGGTGGACTTGGTATGTTGGGAGCTATAAAATGCAGGGTGTGTTAACCATTGGATTTGGCAATGTGCAGGTCTGAGACCCCAGGAAGAGGTATTAGTAAGTGTAGGGGGGTGATGTGAGTTGTGCATTAACTGTTTCAGAATTTGGTCTTAAATGGTCAGAAATCTCGGAGGTGGGGAAGTTGGGACTCACTGCCACCTGCCTGAGCACCGGAGGGAGAGGAGGAGGGGGAGCAAGGATGGAACCCAGTGCCAGAGTGAAGGGTAGTTCTGCTCCTGGGATACAAAGGAGGCAGAGCAGGCTTGCATTTGATAGCCGGGGGGTGGGGAGAGGAAAAGAGAGCAAGAATGATGGGAGAGGTGTTGAGGGACATGGCTCAGTTAGATGCGAAATGTGCATGAACTCAGTACAAAGCCCACATCAGTGGAGTTGCTTCAAAGTGCTGCTCTCAGAGTCCTCTCTCCTGTGCCTTAGGGATGCTTCGGTGGGAGAGTTTGAGAAGTCACTTCGTTATTGTAGTCTAGTGCTGTATTGTTAAATTTCACCCTAGCGAGTGTTTAACCTTAAAGAGTTTGAGATTTCACTTACCCATTTTGTTATCCCTAATAGAGCTTTTGCAGCTGCTCCAAATATCCCTCCATTTGTGCATCTTAATAGTTGTTTGGCAAGTCACTTCATTCTGCACTGGGGAAGGCCTCATGGTAAGTACTGCAGGGCCTGCAGAGACCCCCTCCCTCTTTCAGGGAAAGGAAGTGATGGAGATGGGACATGCTGCGGCTCCAGAATAGCTTGTCCTCTGGGGAGAGCTCAGGGACCCTTTTTCCTGTTCTCGACCCTCAACAGAGATGCTGTTGCTCTTAATTCCTACAGGGTTTCGGTGAGCCAAGTAGAGTGCTAGTAGCCATTTACATTATTTAACAGTCAGCGGTGACTAAAAGTCGTTGGCATAGCCTGCTGTTTTTCCTTTCTGTACAGTTAGTGTGAGTAATTTCCCAGGCCACTGAAGTTCTTCAGTCCAGCCTGGCATGGTGGTGCATGCCTATAACCCCAGCACTTGTGAGGTTACAAGTTTAGAGTTTAAGTCTAGCCTGGGTTATATAGTAAGACCCCTGTCTTTTTTTTTTTTTTTTAACTTATTTTTTGGTCTTTTTGAGACAAGTTTTCCCTGTAGCCCCAGCTGGCCTGGAATTTGCTATGTAGACCAGGCTGGCCTTGAACTCACAGAGATCTGCCTGCCTCTGCCTCCCAAGTGTTGGGATTAAAGTTGTGTGCCACCACACCTAGCTTTTATTTATTTTGAAAAATACTCTTACTGGTTTGAGAATGTCACACGTTGTATTTTGATCATATGCAGACCCCTTCCCTCTCTGCACCCCACCTTGTCACCACCCTCGACTTCATGTCCTTTATTATTAGTTGTCTTTTTTTTTAAGTCTATTCAGTCTAATCTGCGTTTCCAAAATACTCTAGCTATGGTCTATCCCTTGGAGTCTGGTCAATTTACCAGATGATTCACCAGTAAGGAAAACTGATTTTCCCTCTCCAAAACTGTCTTTAAAAATAAACAAACAAACAACTGTATACCTACCAGGCAGGGGAGATACAATGATCATGAAAGTGGTTCTCTTAGGTGAGGCTGACCCATGACACTTCGAATGTGCTGACCCCTGTGATTTCCCCAAATGTGGGCAAACATGAGCACATCACTTGTGGTAGTAAGGGACTGTGTTCACACTCCCCTCCATTATTAAAGTAGATCCCTCAGCCTTCATAGTAAAAACTAATGTGGACAGACTGAGTTGGCCACGGAAGTTTCACTGAACGGAAGCATTTGAGAGAGCAGAGGTCTTTTTCCTTTTGTTTCTGAGTAAGATTCTTAAGATGCTGAGGCTCCGGATCCTCCTGCTTTGTCTTTCCATTGGACAGATCTCATGGCTGAGGCCTGGTGGGAGGTTGGTTTGTAATCGGTAGTCTCTATGTGCATAACTAGGTCAAGTAGTCCTCTGCTTCTATTGCACTTAATCAGATCCCAACTGTAACTGAAAGCTTGAACCCTTTGATCCCAGCCCCTGGGAACCACCATTCTACCCCTGCATATAAATGGGATCGGACATTCTGTATTTCATTCTGCATAATGTCCTTGAGGTTTGTCCATGGCCATGGTCAATAATAATGTATATTCCCAATTGCTAAGATTAGATCTTAAATGTTTTTACCACATACAAAAAGGATAGATGAGGTGATGAATATGTTAATCAGCGTAATCTTTTCACAGTGAGAATGTTTACCAAGACATCATTTTGAACCCATAAATACATATATTTTGTTAGTGGAGTGGGATCCATGCTTGTATGCTCAGCGCTCAGGAAGGGAGGATAGGAGGATCCTGAGTTCAAGGCCAGCCTGGGCTCCATAGTAAGAATCCTAGTACTGTCTCTTTCTCTGCCTCAGGTGCCTGTCTTGGGCTGGCTGCAATGTCTATCTGGACTGTGCAGAGTAGGTGTGCCCTGCTTGAGCAGTCCCTGCCCCTAATGGTAGTCAGGTGGTTTCCACAAGCCTTCTCAGCCTCCCCCACCAGTCCCTTCCTAGTGATGCCTCAGCCCCTTTGCCTTCGCTCATGGGCCACAGCTGTGCTTGCTGAGGGAGACAGGCACCCCCCTGCCCCCAGTTTGGGATCTCTCTCCAGCCAGGTTGGAGTTGCAGTCTGCTTTTGCAGTGGTATACCTAGCCCCTCACCAGGTACATGCTGCATGCGTGCTCAGGATTGTGGAATGAATACATGCACTAACATAGATGGCTACTGTCCCCTCGCCAGTAAGGGGGCTTCCTCCGTTTGTCCATTGCATCTCCAATGGGTCACACCTCAGCCAGAACTTGTCCTGCTCTCACTGAACGCCACAGGACCACAGTCCTTTATCTTCAGTTGTTAGGAGTGAGTATCCTAAAATTTGAAATTCTCAAGTTTTTGAGCAAAATTTAGTGAATATAGTATGTTTTGTTGAATAGCCTAGATTGCACCTTGTCATTAAAAACATCACAATTTTGGCAGCAAAGTAGACAAGTGTTCACATGCATAGGGTGAACAGAGGCCATGAGAGATTCCACGTCAGATTAGAGCACCATGTTATGACCTGTCTTCAGTGATCAGGACTTTGTGGATTGCAGAATTACAGATAAAGTATTGTGGACCTATTTCCTTAGCATGTTTCCCAGGCATTCTCTGTGCCATGAATACAAAGAAAAAGACCCCTGCACCTGCTGTTCACGTACAAAATGAACAAGCCACATGGTGGGGCGGCTGCCGGCTGCAGGGCCCCACTCACAGCTGCTGTGAGCTAGCAGGCGCCTGGCGTCTCCTTTTCTTTCGAGGGGAGGGCCCTGTGGGTAGGATTTGGCTTCAGGTGAGCCATTTGGGTTGGTAGAAGGGGCCCTTATTGTAATGCAGTGAACATCAAACCTGTGTCCCTCAGGATGTAGCAAGTCGCTGTTGTCCGGATTCTCTTGGGTCTGAATCCCTGGAGCTCATTTGAGGGCCTCGGGAGTAGAGAGAATAGACTTAAAAACAATGCTCGAGGACCTGGAGGCTGTCTGGATACCTGTGCCTTCCTTCTTCTGAGAGACAATCTATAATTCATAACTCCTTTCTGTTAATGACTACACGTAACCAGTCATGAAGGTTCTTTATTTTTAAATTTTTATTTTTGTTTTATGTTTATGAGTGTTTTTCCTGCATGTATGTAAGTGTACCTGTGTTGTACAATGCCCATAGAGACCAGAAGAGGGTGTCTTTTCCCCTAGAACTGGAGTTATGGATGGTTGTTAGCCACCATATGGGTGGTGGGAACTGAACCTGAGTCCTCTTCAAGATCAGCAGCAACCACTGAGCCATCCCTTCAGACCCAGATTCTTCCTCCCCCCCCCATTTTTTGGTGTTTTTTGAGACAGGGTTTCCCTGTAGCCCCAGCTGTCCTGGAACTCACTATGTATACCAGACTGGCCTTGAATTCACAGAGATCTGCCTGCCTCTGCCTCCCAAGTGCTGGGATTAAAGGTGTGCGCCACCACACCCGCCTGGTCTTTTCTTTTTTTTAAACATTAAAAAAAAATTATGTGTATGTGTGTGTGCCTGTGTGAGTTTGTGTATACCTCATGCATGCAGATGCCCATGGAAGTCAGAAGAGAGTATCAGATCTCCTAGATCTGGAGTTACAGGTGTTTGTGAGCTACCATGTGGGACGTTAGCCCAGGTCCTATGTGAGAACAAGGGCCCCTAACCATTGAGCCATCTCTCTAGCCCAGATTATTCAAAGTTTTTTGCGGGGAGATACTTCAAATACTTTTTGGAAAAAGGCAGTTTGGGAGTTAGAGTGACCTTGTCCCACCTCCTTTCAGTGATTACAGCTCCTCCACCAGGATACCCAGCTGTCCCATTCACTTTAATTCTCTCTTGCAGGAACTGCTAAAAATGGGCCACTTCCATCTTCCATTCCATGTTCTACAGGGTGAAGTAAGTGTTTTTTTTTTTTTTTTTTTTTTTTTTGCTTTTTGCCTCTCTTGTTACAAGCTTTGTTGTGGATGCTGTGGTGGCAGTAGAGAGCTGTTTTAATTTTGTTGCCGTTGTTTTTGTTGTTTTTGAGAAAGTTTCTCACTATGTAGCCCTGGTTGGCCTGTAACTCACTATGTAGACCAGGCTGGCATTGAACTCAGTATGTAGCCCTGGCTGACCTGGAACTCACCATGTAGACCAGGCTGGCATTGAACTCACTATGTAGCCCTGGCTGACCTGGAACTCACCATGTAGACCAGGCTGGCATTGAACTCACTATGTAGCCCTGGCTGACCTGGAACTCACTATGTAGATCAGGCTGGCATTGAACTCACTATGTAGCCCTGGCTGACCTGGAACTCACTATGTAGACCAGGCTGGCATTGAACTCAAGCCTCTGCCTCCCCAGTGCTGGACTCAAGGCTTGGACCACAATGCCTGACCTATTTTAATGTTTTTAAGACAGATTTTTATGTAAATAGTTACCTTTAAGATTTAAAAAATGTAGGGGCTGGAGAGATGGCTCAGCAGTTAAGAATACTGGTTAGCTGGGTGTGGTGGCGCACGCCTTTAATCCCAGCATTCAGGAGGCAGAGACAGGGGATCTCTGTGAGTTCAAGGCCAGCCTGGTCTACATAGTGAGTTCCAGGACAGCTGGGGCTACAGGGAGACCCTGTCTCAAAAAACCCCCCAAAAACACTGGTTGTTCTTGCAGAAGACCCGGGTTCGAATCCCAGCACCACATGGCAGCTAACAACTGTCTGTAACTCCAGTTCCAGGGGATCCGATAGCCTCTTCTGTCCTCCGCAGGTATTGCACGACACAGGTGCACTTACCTACGTGCAGGCAATACACTCATACACATATGATAAAAATAATAAAAATATTTAAAAAAAAAGATTTTAAAAATGTGCCTGCCTTCTGAGATGTGCCTGCTTTTTGAATGTATGTTTAAATGACCAGGTGTGGTCATTCATGTCTATAATTCCAGTATTCAGGAAGCTGAGACAGGAGAATTGAAAGTTGAGGTCAGCCTGGACTACATAGTGAGGCCCTGTCATAAAAGGAGGATGATAAATTGCTGTGTTGCAGGAAATTATCCCTTTAGAATTAGAAAATGGACTTGTAGCATTCAAACAAGCCTAAATAAACATTTCTAGTTTTACATTTTCTGTGATCTTTGATAAAGTCTGTAGAATGTATTGCCTCACCTAACAATGTCTATTAAAATTCCTTTTGTTTTATTTTTTGAGACAGGGTCTTATTATGTAGCCTAGGCTATCCCAAGAGGTTATTATATAACTCGCCCTGGCTCAAACTCTCAGTATTCTAGCCTCTCTCAGTCTACTAAGTGCTGTAATAGCAGGTATGCATCACCATATATAATCTGAAAGGCTATTTTAATTTAGAATTGTTTTTGTCAACAGTACTTGCTTTAAGGTTTAATGAACCATGACACTGTTAGAAATACACTTTCAGGGGCTAGAGAGATGATTCAGCAGTTGAGAGCACTGACTCCTCTTGTAGAGGACCCAGGTTCGATTCCCAGCATCTACATGGGAGCTGATAACCGTCCATAACCCCAATTCTAGGGGAATCCAACGCTCCCTTCTGACCTCCTCAGGCATTGCATGACACAGTTACACGTACATACATGCAGGCAATACACTCATACACATAAAATAAGAATAACAAATAAAAATATATTAAAAATGGGGGTCCATAGTTGAGCTGGAGAATCAGGAGTTCAAAGACATCCTGCCCTATATAGCCAGTTAGATTAGCTGAAAGTGTAGGCTCTGTGAGACTCTGTGTCAAAAAAAAAGAGAAAAAGAGGGGCTAGAGAGATGACTCAGCAGTTAAGAACACTTGCTGTTTTTCCAGAGGACCCAGGTTTGATTCCCAGCCTCCACATGGTGGCTGACAACAGTCCGTAACTCCAGTTCTAGGGCATCCAGCACCAGCACCCTCTTCTGGCTTCTGTGGGGCATTGCATGCATGTGGTGCGCTTACATATGTGCAGGCAAAACACTCATACAAGTAAAAATAAAAATAAATAAAATATTAGAGAAATAAAGATCTGGGCCTGGTGGTGCATGCCTCTAGGCATGCAGATCTCTGAGTTCAGGCCAGCCTACTCTACATAGTGAGTTTCAGGCCAGTCAGGGATACGTAGTGAGACCCTGTCTCCAAATAA